GCGCTGGAACGACGTTTTCTGAAGTACAACCGACGCACTCAACATCTCGTCGGACTTCGCAGTTCAGATACGAGATCAATGTCTCGTCTTCGTGATCCAGCGGATTACTTAAGGCAAGGCATCGATGGGCTGGTCATATAATGAGAAGGTGACAGAGCTTGTTTTTATGGGTTTCAGTGATGTTTTCGGTACTCTCCAACTTTGATCAGTAGCTATTGATTAGCCTCCGGCATCTAGCATGGCTTATATTAACTTGTATCATTGCTGAGCTCTATTCACAGAATAAAGGACAAGTCACCGAAACACTATGGGCAATGTTTTCTGCCACCCTGCCATCTATGTTACTGTGCTGACAGCAGTTGCCGTTATCTGTTGGCTTTGGCTATTTGGCAAAAGATCGGCAAAAGAGCAAGGATACACACATCCTCGTTTCAGAGTTGTACGAGAATTATTCAGGTATTTTCTCTATATAAGTAGATTGCTAGAATTTCATTGATAGCGTGCTTGAAAGTAGGAATTTTGAGGGAAATGTTGCAGTCCGAGCCAGAAGGTGTCGCTTTGGCTGTGCTCCAAAAGGGGGAGTTAGTGGTTAACTTGTACGGAGGCTATGCCGACAGGTAATTTCTTTTGCATTTACGTGAACAACAGAAACAAGTAGAACTGTAGGTATTCCCATCTAGAAACAATATGCATATTCCTGCTGATGCACTTCGTTAACAAACTGAAAAGCTGTACGAAATTTAACTTTCAAATTGGGTGCGGAAACTTTTTGAAGGCGGATTTTGATGCATACAAATAAAGGACATTTGCATTCGGAATATAGCTTTTTCTGATTAATATCATAAGGCGGAATTGGAAAGTGATCGAAAGTCGTACATAAAAATGAAACACGCTGCAAAAATTATGTCAAGAAAGCGAAGAAGGCATACGTAGAAGAGCCTATATATATTATTGCAATCTCGTGAGGAAGAGCGAGATATATACCGATCAGCGCTAAGGAGATCAGAGTCCGCAAAAATACGGAACACTTCTGCCATATCAAAGACAGACGTTTAGATGACAAAGAAAATGATTGAGAGATGGCGAACGTATTTCGAAGAAATGTCGTCTGCCAACACTGATACAGCCATCCCACCAGCTGACGCTGTGAAAGGGCCACTGCCACTCATGGCAGCAGAGGAAGTGCTTGCTATAACAGAGACAAAGAACGACAAGGCTACCGGTCTAAATGAAATCCTGAGCGATGGAAGGAATGTGAATGGCTCGGTGCCTCTTGGCTTGCAGGTCTCTTCAATCAGGTCAAAGCTAAGAGCATGCCCTATGACTGGACAAAGAGCACCACGTTTTCGATATAGAAGAGAAGGCGACGTCGTAGACTGTTCAGTCGGGCAATCCGGCTGGTGAGCCACACTCTGAAGATTTTCGAAAGACTATTTGAAACACCATTTTGAGCGATTATAGAGTTGTCATCCAATCAATGTGGATTTCTGTCGATACTGCTGACACCATCCATACATACGGATAGTGATGAAGAATAAGAGAAAAACAAAGAGAGACATGTGGCTTTTAGATATGAAGGAAGCCTTCGACAGGGTACCCATGACGTCTATGCGCACAGCGAAGCACACAAATGGTTTCAAGAAGTATACATCAAATGAGAAAAAAGGAACTATCACGGAGCCCCGAGTCATGTGCAAACTGCGGTAGGGCAGTCGAAACTATTCCCCATAAAGACCAGCGTACGTCAAAGATCGATGCTATCTCCTCTACTCTTCATCACAGTTATAAATGCAGTCATGGAAGGTCTTGAGCAGCCTTCATGGACTCGTGTATGCAGATGAATGGTGTGACGGCAGAAAACAGAAAGAACTTGAAGAGGTACAGAGATGGAAGGACCAATTAGGTCACTCGGCCTGAAGCTCAACACAAAAAAGAAAAGTATATGAAGGTGGGAGGTCAGATTTCAGAAACCATGTACATCGATGATGAGCCAATCAAGAAGACGGGTAATTTCGAGCACCTAAAAAGTCGACCGGCGAAGATGGACTTCAAGATGAGTTATCGGCCATGACAAACGCAGCCTGGATGAAGTCATCTTCACAGGTGTTCTATGTGACAAGCGAATGCCAGTGCACCTAAAGTCCAATATACCGTGATCCGTCCAACAGCCTGTATGGCAGTGAATCTTAGCCGTGTACACGAGATAAAGAATACAAGCTGGTGATGGAGACAAGACTGCTGTGGTGGACAATGAGTATCACCTTGGCGGATCATGTCTGCAATGACACAATTCGGACTAGGATGAAAGTTGCTTCCATCACCGAGAAGATGCAGGAGAAAGAAGCGATGGTACGGGCAATGAGTAGAAGAGATGAACCCACATCACAAGAGTGGTGATGTCTCTGGAGATCGCTGGAAAAAGACCGCGTGGAAGGCCAAAGATGAGGTGGATGGACAGAATCCTAGCCGACTTCAGAGGGCTTGCGATCAATAACAAAATGGGAAAGGAAAAATGCGAAAATAAAAAAAAAATAGCATAATCTCATTCATGCAAA